GCAATGTCAGTGCTAGGGGTCTGGGGCATTGCCCCCAGAAAATTTTGAAATATTTAAGCGCATTCTCCTGCAATCTGAGGCATACTGTGGGCCATATTCTCATGTCTGATGCAGTCTATCTCAACCCTAGACTTTTCATCTACTTTTCAGATGAGCGTACACAAGTTAGGTTAGCTAATGAGTAATAATACATGTACGTAGAAATGCAATTTCTCAGCAATTTCAACAGCTGGTTTTGTATGTTTGCACTATACTTTTTGGCTATTTGTGAGTCTGGAAACAGCTTTGTCTGAAGAGAGTTCATTGCCATGGTCCTGGCCGCCTCAAAAGGCACATTGTGTTCAATTAAATAATCCGCGTAAATGCTCACTTCTGCGTCAAGACAGACCAATCTCTATCTGCCGCAAAGAGCTGATATATTGGGTGTAGATTCCACTGCACCGCCGATAGCACTTGTACTTTGAAGAGCTATATGCCTCTGGCAGTCCACTCCTTCCTCCGTGCCACACTTGACAAGTTCTGTCTTGCATACCATGCAATAGCCATGATAAACATCTGAATTGCTGTTGGTATACAGTCACTGCGACTACAGTAAATGCAGTTACAGACATTTAAAAAACTCATTCTCATGCATTATGCTGGAAAATTGAAAGCAAATACACATTTCTTTTCTTTTTCCTTTCTTCTTCTTTCTTTCTTTCTTTTTTTTAATCTTATGGAGGGGGTATTTGTACAGGCCATCCCCCCCCTTCGCTTCAAGAGTGAGGGGGGATGCATCCCCCCATCCCCCCGGGATTACGCCCCTGGTGGGCGGATCACTGAAAAGCGCGCGGAGGCGCGCTTCCTAGGGGGTGGTCAGGAGGGGGGAGTTTCCCGCCTCCCGCTGCGAAGCGCGAGCTCTGACGTTTCATTAAATATTAGAGAAAAGAAGCATTCGTTGTACCGTTCTCAACTCTTAATCCTCTAGAATGGTTCAAAATAATATGGATTTATTGTTAAACAAGATTTTCGATTTTTTTTAGGGATATCTCAGAAAAGATGCATCATGCATGTGATAAATATATTGGACGTTTAAATCAACCAATCACCAAACAATCAGGCAATTTACATCATAAGATTCCATAATTGCTAGCAGGACTGGTGATAAGTGTCAGAACACACATAAGAATACACACCAGTAGGCACGTAGAGAACACGACCCGCTGGTAAACACAAATATCCGTAGACTCGATAGTCAATATATTGGTGGGTACGCATGATATGTGTATGCCGAGCTGATGAAAGGCGAACGCGCGCTGGGTCTCAAAGCTCATTTACAAAAATTTTTTAATACATTAAAAAGATATCTGTTGTTTCTTTTATAATCTTTTTAAAACATAACAGGGGTCTTTGTTCATTGTGTCTTGTATGCTCCTTTTTCTTCCTACGTCTCTTACTTTTTCTCATTCTCCTCTCTCTTTTTGGCCGCGTTTTGGAGGGGGGCGACCGCCCCCACCGCCCCCCCCCCGCCTGGCTACGCGCCTGATTTAGATTAGATTTATAACATAACATAATATATCATTATTTTATGTATAGTGTACTAAATCATCCACAATACTTCATCGCCGTCATGTGTGGTATACTGGCCTTGTTCGGGAGCTATCGGTGTCACAAAGCAAATAGCCAACAGTCCTGAAAGTCACTAGCAGGGACACAGATGCCTTCCGCATCGAGTCATAAACCAATATTTGTTCCCGCATTGCCTGCTGCTTTCAACCACGTTGGCTATTATTGATGACCGTCTACGTGAATGCGAGGCCTGATGAGAGTAAACATGCTCCACACTCTGTGGCTCATTTAAATGGACGTAAATCTAGCAACCAAAAAATGTAAAGCTATTTTTCATTGTAGAAAAAATGTAGAAAAAAAGAAATCGCATCGATAGCATTCACATGGCAGTTATTGAGTAGGCATGGTAAGAGCGCGGTCGTACGCAACGCGGAGGGAGATGAACGACACGAGAGAGAGTTGTCGCATGCGAGGCAGGGGCAAGGCTGTGAGGGGTCGGTGTGGATGGGTCGGTGTGGATGGTTGGTGTGGATGTGTGGGGCACGGTGGGGGAGACATGGGCGGGATGGTGGGGATGCGGATAGAAGAATGTAGAGAAAAGTAGAAAAAAGGGGAAAGTAGAAAAAAGTAACCCTGATATATCATCTATCGTGAGCAAAATAATCACTGGCTCTGAATGTTTAGTTACAATAGCAGTGTGAATATCATCATTGTCTCAGTTCCCACATGGAAAGATAATAAAATTCATATACACCGGCGTATCAGTCAGCGGAAATTCGTTTAATGCTCACAATCTTTGCAGGCTTCGATTCTCACTCTCGGGTGATGTTTCCATTCGTCTAGGTCGGCTTCCAAGCACGGCTTCAACTTCAGACGCAGTGTGTGGGGAGGTGATTCTTCACCTCTACCATGAGGTGGGCCGAATACGCAGCGGCGAGGCTGGACGGTGTATTCGCCTTCTGCATTTTAGACACAGAGAAGAAGCAGGTTCATATCGGCCGTGACACATACGGCGTCAGACCTGCCTTCAAGCTACTGTCCGATGACGGAGTGTTAGCCTCTGCTCGGGGCAAAAGGTGCGCGCATAATTATACAGAGAGAGGAAACAGAGGAGCAGATGCTGAAGTGTAGCTAACAGTAAGAGAGAGAGGAGAAGGTGCAAAGTAATGGTATATATATTATTAAAGAAGGTATGAAAGAATGAAATTATGAAGTACTGAAGAAAAAAGTAGTTATGAAAGTATGGTAAAGAGGTTAAGAAGGAAGTAAGAGAAGTGGTGCAAAGGAAGCTCATGTTAAAATTCATTGCAAAGTGAAAGAAGAAGTGCAAGAACAAGTTGATGTTGCGATGAAAAGCACATAAAAACAGAGTAATGAAACGGCTGCCAAGTAAGTTGATGTTGAGTTTCAGAGTGCAGTAAATGGTGGGATACACATTAGGTTGAAGGTAAAGATCCAGACACAATATCTGTAAATTGCTGTTATTGGACAACTGTATAATGTTAATGGCATCCCGAATACAAAGGGACTTCTTCCCCCACTCAGTATTACAGTTTCTAATGATTATAATATCCCGTATAACACATTTAGAACAGCGATATGTGATTTAATTATTCCCTTATCGTTTCAGGTCTAGTGCATCTTACGGAATCAATGGAGAATGCTCACCTGTCGAAGCTCACTCCCTTCCCTCCAGGACACATTGAGAGCTATCAAATGGATGACGAGGGAGAGAGTAAAGTTTCACTGATAGAGCAAAAGCAGTTCCACTATATAGGTGCTATGCCCAAATACGTGTCGCTAGGGAAAGAACTTCTGACAGGTACAATACAAAAGTATACTGTTATTTCTAGTTAGTAGTGGAACGTGTTAACAAAGCCACAGGTAGGGGTTGGGCACATCCTGGAAAACCTGGAAAATCCTGGAAAATCATCTATGATCCTGAAAGGGCTTGTACTATTTAGCTTATATCTCATGGGGCTGAGAAATGGGTCCTGGATTTGATAATTTATAGAAAAGTCTTCATGTGAGAACCTGGCAGGTTTGCATTTATTTTGGCAACTGGTATGGACAAGTACACCTGTTTTCACAGGCAATACAGTGCACACATACACATGAACGGTATAGGATATGTATGATAGTGATACATTGACATACTAGTCACACTTGTCTATGATGGTCACTCAATAAAAAGGGTAAAAGTGGGCTTCACTGACAGGCGTTGGTTTCATAGAGGTAGTATCACCGTATAACTGCCACTCAATAAAATTGTCATAATTGGCCTTTGCAAATCCGTGTTTGCATTTACTGCGTAGATAACATTGAGTTAAACATTCGCATGACTCTTACTGCTGCTGTGAAGAAGAGAATGATGTCTGATCGGCGAATTGGCTGCTTACTATCAGGTACTAGAATATTGAACCACATCTTCTAGTTTCTCACAACCATGAACCTACTACTTAAAATATTCGTGTAGTAATTGCATGGTAGCTGTCATGAAGTCAATGCTGGTACCTATGGTCATGCTGATGTACAAGTATAAATAAGGCAAATAACCAGCACGGCAAGAGGCTACCAGAATGTGGTGAATAAACATGGTTTTGCAAGTTACCTGATCTGATTAAATTACATTCTATAAACCAAGACTTTTCTAAATTAAAAAAGGTAAACCAACTCATTTTAGAAGATTTAAGCAAACAAGACTTTGCACAAGTACCCATGCGCAGATATGGTTCTGTCTGCTCTTAGGTTGTCAAACATGTAAAGATCCTGAAGAAGTCGTCTGCTCTCCTTATCGCCCTCTTCTTCTGATGGGGCCTGAGTAAAAAATCTATTAATATCTTCAAATAGCACTTGAACCATGAATCATTTATTTAAAAGACATTTTGGTAATTATGGATCGCAAGTGGAATGCAAAACGCCTTCGCGTACGACGTTATTAATACTTTCAAAAATTACAATAATGATGCTACAGTTTGTGTATAACAACGATTTCTCCTTGATGGTGCTGTATGCTCACATTGTGGAAATATATGTATCCCTGGCACACCTCATCAGCCCCTTCACCCGAGAATAGCACAACAGTGTCTGTGTTCTCAGAAATGTACTTGCTAACTAAGTACATACCTATAAACATAAAAATTACAACAAAATTACTTCAGAAAACTCTTTTAAAAGACCTCCTTTGTTATAATTCGAATTTAATAAAACAATAGTTCTTAATTGCAAAGAAGCAGAAACCTATATATCTGTGGGGGAAAATCTCATGACTGCAACTGGTTGTGTTGATGTAGAGAAACAAAGACTGGGCTGTAGATTCTGGAGCAAAGGAGGGCAGTTGCTGCCTCACTGGTAAATGTTGGAGAAATATATAATCAAAACTTAATAAATGTAAATTACCCTAGAAAAGTGTAAATCATTA